TTCTCCCTCTGACCCTCCCCCCTCTCATGTGCTCTCTCTCTCTCATTCTCTCTCTCTCAAATAAATAAATAAAATCTTTAAAAAAAAAAAAAAGTTAAGACTGTTACTTGGCCTTCCGAAGAACAGTCCTGTCACCCTCATTTCTAGCCCTTCCGCAGTTCATCTGTTCCCACTCTCATCGTTACTCAAAGGCTGCCTCACTGTTAACCCTTGTAAATCGGGCATTGCCCTCTGTACCTGGGACAAGGCAAGAGAAGGGCAGATGTTGTGATGCTGCTCACTGGGGTCGTGGATACCTGCACGTGGAGTGCTCTGGAGGTCTGATGCTTGTGTCAGCCGTTTGTGTGTTCCTCCATTTACATAGCTCCTGTTCTTGCATAGCACAAAGTCCCTTCTTTATATGTACCTTGGGAGCTGAAAGAAATGTCATTTAATAATGTATTTGTTTGAAGGGAAATTTAAAATAGCACAATAGGCTGAGCTCTCGCCCATCGATATTTGGGCAAGTTGTAATTGCCACAGTCTTAGTTCTTGGCTTACTCCAGAGGCATTCTTTGATCCCTCTGATTTTCCTCCTGGAGCTCTCCCCCACAGAGAGTTGTTAGATTATTCAACTCTAGATATTTTCTGCACTTTAGAAACAGGCTCTTCAAACCACTGTGGGGCTGATGCTATTTTCTAAGCCCTTGGAGAACAGGCTGCATCATTAACGTGAGTTCGGGGGGCCTTTTTTCCCCTTCAGGAATCCCTTCAGTTTCACAGACCTGACTTCATCTCCCGCTCTGGGGAGCGAATAAAGCGTCTGAAGCTAATAGTCCAGGAGAGGAAGCTGCAGAACATTTTGCAGAGTGAGCGGGAGGCCCTGTTCAACACTGCGGGAGAGCAGCAGGGCTTCCGGGACCCCACGCGCCCGCTCCTGAAGAGAGGTACTCTCTGCCTCTTCACTTGCCTCTCACGGCTGCAGAGGGCAAGGGCTGCTTCCCAACCGGGGGGGCACTGCTCAGCACCATCCCAGTCACAGGGACAGAAAGGGCCTGCTTGCTTGCTGAGACTCCACTCTCCCTGGGCAGCACACCTGCCCCTTGTGGCTCTCGGTGCTCTCGTGATCCACATAAGCCCAAGTTCTCCTGACCTGTCACTGCATCTTAGAAACCAGAGTGTGCAGTGAGACTGGTGTATTTATAAGGCAGCTGTGGGTCTGTGAGCAAGTTCCAGGATTGCCTGCCTCATGGGGTGGTGGTGGTTGTGGTGAGGGTGATGATGATGGTAATGATGATAATAATAATAATAATATGTAACCCTTACATGTTTGGCCCAGGCACGGTTCTTGTTCAATGCTTATAACACGTCTCTGAGGGAGATGCTATTTAATATCCCTATTTTACAGATGAGAAAACAGAAACGAGAGCTTAAGTCCCTTGCCCAAGATTATACACCTGATAAGCTGGGATTTAAACCCTGATGGGCTCGCTTCAGATTCTGTGCTCCTAACAATTCTGCTAGGTGTAAGATCTCCGTAAAACAATATGTGAACGCTGTGAAAACGACCAAGTGCCACCCACTGCTTTCATCACAGCCTTACTATAAACCGGCCAGTGTTTCTGTTCACACTGGCTAGTCTGTGCCGCCGCGTGTTGTGTCTTCAGCAGCCTGCTGTCACAGTCCCCATAGTCTAACCCTGGCCTTGGCCTTGGCCATTGCTCACCACCCAGTACTGTCAGCTCAAGGTAGGGACACCAAGTCCTAGCAGCTCCTTCTCACAGCTCTTGAGCAACACACCCTTCCCTGTTAAGACACTATCCACTGAAAACCCCTTCTTATGCTTAGGCTTCCTGGATGCCCGGAAGAACAGGCCTGTTGGGAAGAAGGAAATGATTCAGAGGTCTAAGCGGTAAGGACAAAAGAATAAGAGTAATTATAAAAGTATAAATAAGGCCACCAAGTGATCAAGAGCTCTGGCTTGCCCCTAGAATAAAGACGTTATGCTCAAGTTAAAATGTTACGAGAAAATTAGTTGTGAAAGAAGTTTCTTACTTATAGCACTAAAAAAGGAAAGACAAATAGATAGCAGATTGTGGTATGGATGAGTCAGATAAAAACATACAAAGAATTCCCACTAATTTGCATGCCTTAGTCAGGCTTCTCTTTGTTAGAAACCTACATATAAATAAAGATACCTAAAATATAAGATATGAATATTTTGAAATAAAGTGTTTATTTCAGGCATTACCCATTATCCACACAATCACATTTCTAGGAATTTATGCAATACAGTGAAAAATAATGAAATACTAAGACATATTAAGTTAAGCTTCACAAAAAGTCAAGTTTGGGGCGCCTGGGTGGCCCAATCGGTTGAGCGTCTGCTTTCGGCTCAGGTCGCTATCTCAGGGTCCTGGGACCGAGTCCCATGTCGGGCTCCCTGCTCAGTGGGGAGTCTGCTTGTCCTCTGTCTGCCCCTCCACCTGCTTGTGTTCTCGCTCTCTCAAATAAATAAAATCTTAAAAAAAAAAAGAAGTCAAGTTTCAAGCAGTGTACACTGCTACCGTGTGCAGTGTTTAAAAAGTATTTGTGCCTATATAGATGCATATACTTTTATATGCATAGAATATCTCTGGAAGGGTACCCCAAAAAATGGTGATAGCGCTTGCCTTTGGGAAGAAGGACTGAGTGACTAACATATAGAAGTAGGACAAAGACTAATTGTTTGCCTTTTTATACTTGCTGAATTTTGTGCCTTTGCATGCATTAGCAATTAATTAGCAATATGCATGTATCGGTCATGGATTTAATTGACATATAACATTGTGTAAGTTTAAGGTATATAATGGGATGATTTGATGTACGTATATGCAATATGTTTACCACACTAAGGTTAGTTAACATATCCTTTACCTCACATAATTACCATTTTGTTGGTGGTAGTAGTGTTGGTGGGGGTGGTGGGGGTGTTCTTACTGTTATGGTGAGAACATTAAAGGTCTAGCAGTGTTCAAGTATACAGTGCAGTATTGTTAACTAGAGTCACCATGCTGGACCTTAGATCCCCAGAACTTTTTCCTCTTATAACTGGAATTTTGTACCCTTTGACTAACATCTCCTTGTTATCCCCATCCCCCAGCCCCTGGCAACCACCATTCTATTGTCTATTTCAGTGAGTTTGATGTTTTTAGATTCCACATGTAAGTGAGATCATACAGTTTTGCCTTTCTCTATCTGACTTATTTCACCTAGCATAATATCCTCAAAGTCCATTCACGTTGTTGCAAATGTAAAGATTTCCTTCTTTTTTATGACTGGATAATAATATATTATATTTTCTTTATCCATTCATCTGTTGATGGACACTTAGGTTACTTATGGTAGTTCTATTTGTAATTGTTTGAGGAACCTCCACTGTTTTCCCACAGGGGCTGAACCAATTTACATTCCCCACCAGCAGTGCACAAGGGTTCCCTTTTCTCTGCATCCTTACAGATACTTGTTATCTCTTGCTTTTTTTTTTTTTTTAAGATTTTATTTATTTGACAGAGAGAGAGCACAAGCAGGGGAAGCGGCAGAGGCAGAGGGTGAGGGAGAAGCAGGCTCTTCTCTCTTGCTTTTTTAATAATAACCATTCTAACAGGGGCGCCTGAGTGGCTCAGTTGGTTAAGCTGCTGCCTTCGGCTCAGGTCATGATCCCGGGGTCCTGAGATCAAGCCCCACGTCGGGCTCCCTGCTCCACGGGGAGCCTGCTTCTCCCTCTCCCGCTCCCCCTGCTTGTGTTTCCTCTCTCCCTCTCTCTGTCAAATAAATAAATAAATCTTTAAAAATAAATAAATAACCATTCTAACAGGTGTGAGGTGGTATCACATGTGGTTTTCATGAACAGTGACTTTTAAAAACGTAGGTATGTTCTTCTTTGGTCTCGTTCCTGCCCTCCACTGTAGTGTTTTCAGTTAGTGATCGTCTCCTCCATATCCAAAACTGATCTCCCCATTCTCCACTCCCACACTTGCTTGGGCCACCCCCTCATCCAGCTATAGAGCTGGGGAGCAGTCACCTCTAGCCATGTTACCCGCCACTACACATGGGGCCAGCTAGCGCATCCTGAACACTCAGCTTCTTGATTGCTCTGGAACCTGCTCTCACCGCCTTGGTGCAGCCTGGCCCCCACTCTCAGAGGACGCTGTTCTTCCTGGTTCTGCTCTTTATTTTTTTCTCATTTATTTTCCACAGAGCCTCTACGTCATTTTCAGTGATTTTTTTTTCAAATTATAAAAAACTTTGGAAAATATAGAGAAAATGAGAAGAAAATAAATGTCACTGATCATCCTTCCATCTAAACTGAACTGACACTAGTGCTGTTTCTGGCAGGAGTGGGGGTTTTGCAGGGACCTGTATTCACACACACTTATTTTTTCTCAAATTGTTGATCATACTATATATACAGGTTTGTAGCCTGCTTTATTTTGCTCAACATATATATTGTGACATTTTCCCATATCATTAAAAATTCTCAAATTCTTTGAAATATCTTTTTTATGCTTTGTAATAATTCCATTTTATTCCATAATCTGTTTAACTTTTCTTTTGTGGGAAATTTAGATCATTTCCAATTAGAGTATATTTATCAAATGCATGTTTGATCATGTTCCTCCCTACTTAAAATCAGTGGCACCCAATCCTTGATAAGACAGAGCCCAAGGTTTTCACATGGCTACAAGACCCTTCACAGCCCACTTCACCTTCACCTCATCTGCTTCCCACATGATCCCCCACATGCCTCTCTTTGAGGCCTTGACTCTTTCCTACCAATACTCCCTTCTCCTCCCATCCCCTCTCTGCTCCTGTCTTTAAGACTCACCTTTCATTTCGTGGAACTCTGTGTAGCATTTTGTACATAGGGCCATTATTGTACTTTTCTTTCTGTTATTTTCTGGGTGTTTAAAAATATACTAATTAATACATGCTGTTATTTTATATTGAAACTGTCCATTTTTGCATATAGAGTAAAAAGCTGTTACCTCCACTCATTTATCCCACTCCTTTCTCAGAAGTAACCACTATAAGCAAGATTTCTTACGTTTTTATTCATCTGTCTGCCCTCCCAGATCATGAGCACCCCAGGCCAGCATTCTTTGTGTCCAACTGTCTAACAGGAAGCAGGCCCACGACAGAGGCCCCGGGCCTGTGTTTGAGATCTAAATGCCCTGAGAGCAGCAGACCTTAGGGACATGGGGGGAGAAGAGATCATGTCCCTCTGTGTTTGGGTGACCTCACTGCTCTTTGTTTTCCTGCTGGCACCATTCCTAAGGATTTATGAGCAGCTTCCAGAAGTTCAGAGAAAGAGAGACGAGGAGAAGAGGAGACTGGAATATAAGTCATACCGGCTGCGAGCTCAGCTATTCAAGAAGGTCAGTCAGCCCTTGAGCAGGATCCATCAGGTTTATCAGGGGAAAGAGAAATTGAGAGAAACACATCTGACCTGTTTGAATTAACCATATCTGGGAAGTAAACTTAAGGTTGTAATGCATTGTACCACTGCTGAAATTTGGAAGATAAAGGCACCTTTATTTGACTAGACTTCAAATCAAAACATCTAAAAGGCGAATCTAGAAAAGGCACCTTCCAGGCATACATTTGGAACAAAACCAAATTCTATACTTAGGAGTCATGGTGGAAATGTCCAAATCTATCAGAATTGTTGGATTTTCATTCTAGAGTCCCAAATGGTAGTGTTGTGCCCCTTATTGGTAAGTCAAATACCTCTAGAGCTTGTAAAATAAACTGGAAAGTGTCGAGTGTAGCGTAAGAGTTGGCAGCTTGGGGACTCAGAGCCTCAAAGCCACCACCATTTCCTGCCTGTAGCCCAGTGGAATCAGTGGTGCCGCAAGACCCAGACCCTCCGACGCCAGGGAACTTGCTACCAGTATATTCCTTGAGAAGCCAGGCAGGCTACCATGCCTGAAGGTCCATATCCTTCACTGTTCTCATTTCCTTCCCAACCCCTTCACTTCACCACCAGAGGACTCTGAAAGTCAGAATCCAAAAGACGAGTTTATGCCAGACTGATGTGGGATTGGAGAACTGCTTCTGGAGCACACCTGGAGCTGGGCTGGGCCGGGCCCTTCGAGGAGGGGGTCCCCAGGCACCACATGGCCTGTCCAGTGGGTCAGCATCACAGGCCAGGCCTCTCGTTGTGCTCGTATGTTTGAACTGATGGATGGATGGGCCTATCCAGATCATAAGTGATCTGTATCTGTACAGAAATAATAGATAGTGACTATATAGATCATCTTTCCTAAACACATCAGGAAGAATTTTTTTGCATAATTACCATAGTTTCTGTAACTGGGGAAGATAAACAAGATTTGGATAGAACCCCACTGGTCTCTTCCATGACATGTCTGGGGTGAGGATTGGCTGCCGGCCTCTGATGGCAAGAGTATCTAACTTTTTTCCTGTCTTTCTTTTCTTCCACAGAAAGTGACCAATCAGCTCTTGGGGAGAAAAGTTCCCTGGAACTGATATAAGATTATTTTCCTCACAGTCTTGGAATTATATTTTATCAACCTGAAGAAGCACAGTCCTTACTTTTATGAGTCTGGTTTAATAAAACTTAATTCTTTGTCTACGTTTAATTTAGAAATAGTGAAGTCAGTAGTCTGAGGCAGAGTGGTGATTAGGATTATTAATGGTTTGGGAGCAATACTTTCTCCACAGCGGCCTTGCCCACAGGAATGTTTGTCACAATGATATCATTTCTGAAGTCTAGCCATGAGTGAGTCCCTTTCTGTATGTGTATGTGTTTTTATACTTTTAGAAAATAAATAACTTCTGATTGATTCATAGTAAAGCAAGCAGCAGAGGGTCATTTCTTTACCATCTGGAGATGTTCAGGGAGCTATGCAATGTCTCTCCCGAGGTGTATGGGGAGCCTCAATCTAAAAGCATCAGTCAAGGGAAATGGGCTGTGGGAATGAAATATGGCCTTTTTTTTTTTTTTTAAGATTTTATTTATTTGTCAGAGAGAGAGAGTGCGCGCACACAAGCAGGGAGAGAGGCAAAGGGAGAGGGAGAAGCAGACTCCCCGCTGAACAAGGAGCCTGATATGGGACTCATTCCCAGGGTCCTGGGATCATGACCTGAGCCAAAAGCAGACGTTTAATTGACTGAGCCACCCAGGCGTCCCAAAATACGGCTTTTCTTTACAAACACAGCAGGACATGACAATAGCTCTGCCTTGGGCTTTGTGGAGATGGGGTCTGGTTAGAGTTGCTGTTGGGCATGCCCAGACACTCCCAGCAGACCAGGCACCTTGGGTTGAGAGCCTCCTCTTAGCCTCATTCCAGCTTGCCAGGGGCCTCTAGCCTTTGGTGGATTTTCCTCCGGCTACCCTCTCTTCAGGATTGAAGCCTCAGAGCATTTATCATCACACATGGAACCAACATTTATAACCCGGATAACCACTTCTGAAAAGCATGAATTAATAAACTTAATAATGTACGTAAAGCATGTAATTAATCCTGTAGCCTGGAATGACAGCTAAAGCCCAGAGTTGAGGGGGGGAAGGTGCTAATCGGCCTCATTCAAAATTCAGGGAAGCCCCAGCAAGATAGTAAGGGACCAGCTGCCTCCCCAGCAGACTTCCGCAGAGGCCAAGTTAAACAGCAGACCCTGCCTCCAAGCACAGCTCAGAGGGCGCCACCAAGGCTCCCTTCCTAACCCAGAAGGAGGCTATGAAGAAGGCTCAGACACTGACTGAGCCAGCCAGGCACCTCTGCCTGATCCCTTTGTTTTGCCAGGCCTAACACAATGTGTAGCATGTGTTTGACTCAATAAGGGTTTGTTGGATGACACACAGAGGGTCATCAGTCCAGATTGGAGGCCAGAGGCTCTGGGAAAGACTTCAGGGAGATCTAATTGGTAGGATCCCTGAGGCACCTTAATGTCATGGGGATCTATTTAAACATCTGATCAAGTTTGGAGCTGAATAAGTGACAGCTATATGGAAAAAAAAAACTAAACAACAACCCCAAAAAAGATAATTCCAAGGAAAAGAAAACAAAAATCTACATAAAAGAATAAGCAATCATAGTTTTACTATGTAGCTTAGCTTAAAATAAACACAGAATATTGATGTTCCCCGACCAGTGGTCTAATCTCTTTGGGAAACTGGGGAGTGGGAAGGATGCACATGCGTGACGTAGACATGGCCTCGACTCCCAAAAAGTAGTCCACAGACAAGCTTAAAACTGAGGATTAGGAAGAAGCCACACAAGTCCCTTAAAGACATGGAAATAAATGAGACCTGAAACCATAAAAATCCTAGAAGAGAGCACAGGCAATAATTTGACGTCAGCCATAGCAGCATTTTTCTAGATAGGTCTGAGGCAAAAGAAATAAAAGCAAAAGTAAACTATTGGGACTACATCAAAATTAAAAGCTGCACAACAAAGGAAATAACAAAACACCCTACTGATGGGAGAAGATATTTGCAAATGACATCCCATAAGGGGTTTTACAACTCAATAAAACACACACACACACACAAATACAATTAAAAATCGGCAGAAGACATGAACAGGCATTTCTCCAAAGACATCCAGATGGCCAACAGATGACATGAAAAGATGCTCAACATCAGTCATCATCAGGAAAATGCAAATCAAAACCACAATGAGATATCACCTCACACTTGTCAGAATGGCTAAAATAAAAAAAAAGGAAACAAGTGTTTGCAAGGATGTGGAGAAAAAAGAACCCTCTTGCACTGTTGGTGGGAATGCAAACTGGTACAGCCACTCTGGAAAACAGTATGGAGGTTCCTCAAAAAATTAAAAATAGAATTACCATGTGATCCAGTAATTCTACTAGTAGATATTTACCCAGAGAATATGAAAACACTTATTCGAAAAGATAAATGCACCCCTATGTTTATTGCAGCATTATTTACAGTAGACAAGATATGGAAGCAACCCAAATGTCCCATCAATAGACGAATGGATAAAGACAAGGTGGTACATACACACACACACACACACAATGGAATATTACTCAGCCATAAAAAAGAATCAAATCTGGTCACTTGCAACGACACGGATGGATCTGAAGGGTATAATGCTAAGCTGAATAAGTCAGAAAAAGACAAATACCATATGATTTCACTCATATGTGGAATTTAACAAAAAAGACAAACCAAGAACCTGTCTCTTAACTATAGAGAACAAATTTAGGGTTACCAGAAGGGAGGTGGGTTGGGGGATGGGTTAAGAAGGTGATGGAGATTAAGGAGTGCACTTATGATGAGCACTGGGTAAGGTATGGAAGTGCTGAATCACTATATTATACACCTGAAACTAATAACACTGTATGCTAATTATACTGGAATTTTTAAAAAAGTGTTTTAAAGATACAGAAGTTGAGTGTGCACAGGGAAGTGTAGAGCTGCTCTTACACAGCACAAATCTGTAGAACTCTGACTCTTGAAAATAGTTGGGCACATACATAATTTTGAGAGAAATAAAAACAAAACTAAAGACTTAAATGTGAAGGGCAAAACAAAAAATTTAGAAGTAAATATAGGAAAGTGTCTCTAAAGAAAAAATGTCTTAAGGAACAAAGCACAAACCATAAAGAAAAAGAGTGATAAATTCAATTAATGAAATGTAAAAATTCTATATTAAAAGACACCATAGGGGCGCCTGGGTGTCTCAGTTAAGCATCCAGCTCTTCATTTCAGCTCAGGTCACGATCTCAGTTTTGTTAGATTGAGCCCTGTGTCAGGCTCCATTCTGGGCTTGGAGCCTGCTTAAGATTCTCCCTCTCCCTCTGCCCTTCCCCACCCCCATAAATGAATGAATGAATGAACAATTAAAAATAGTAAATAAAGATAGAAAATACAGGGCACAAAACAGAAGATAATTATAGCACATGTAACCAACAAAGGATTTGTATCCAAAATATATCATGAACTCCTATGAGTCATTTGTTTTTAAAGATAATCTATAGAAAGATGGACTAAATAAAAACATGAGCAGGCAGTTTCACAGAAGAACAAATACAACTGGCCTGTACAAATATGATAAATTGCTTTAACTTTATTATTAATTGGAAATGCACATTATTAGCAGAATACTCCATGCAGGGGCGCCTGGGTGGCTCAGTCGTTGAGCGTCTGCCTTCGGCTC